ATGTACCGTCAAAAAACCACACGGCGCCTCCTACTACTACTACTACTACTACTACTACTGCTGCTGTTGCTGCTGCTGCTGCTACTGCTACTACTGCTACCACTGCTACTACTGCTACTACTGCTGCTACTGCTGCTACTGCTGCTACCACTACCACTACCACTACCACTACCATTACCACTACCACTACCGCTTGGTGCTGGTGCTGGTGCTGGTGCTGGTGCTGGTGGTGGCGGCGGCGGCGGCGGTGGTGGTGGTGCAACAACAACAACAACAACTACTACTACTACTTCTTCTTCTTCTTCTACCACTACTACTACTACTACTACTACTACGACGGCAGCGGCGACGACTCCTCTTCCTCTTGCAACCAAGATAAGATTATCGACAGCCGCGATGGCAGTGATTGCTACGGCAGCAAAGACAGCATATTAAAAAAAACCGAGAAAAACAATAGTAACAACAGCAATCAAAGTAATAGCACCGGACTGCTGGCTTTGTTTCAGTATCATGCAGTTCTAGCCAATCCAAAGGTGGTTTTCATGGTTTTCAGGTGGGCTCTCGGCTTGCAATGGTTGAAGCGCCCTCTACAACATAAGAATGCTAAGAATGGTTATGAGTGAGGAAAGCGCCATGGGAGCCCGATTGTGCTGAGGATGCTTCTGCCCTTTTACCTAAACCCTCCCTCCTTTTTGTTGCATTGACCTGCCCCCCACCCCCCCCCAGACCACGTGCTGCGAGGGCGCAGGGGCATGGTTGCGATGGTGGCATTCAATTTCAGCGCACTCTTTGCCCACCTTTCCCTCTCTATGGCGTGGGCGGCTGTGGACGCAAGCCCCTTTAAATCAGGCAACACAGTGAACCTGCGCGACGATAACTGCTGCTGGTTATAACCTTCATTGTTCTTGTTGTCATTGTATTAACATGTACAAAGTACTACAAATCGTTAACATTTAATAACATCTAGTAACCTAGTAGTTGATTACACCTCAACTGCTACCGCCGCCGCCGCCGCCGCCGCCGCCGCCGCCGCCGCCGCCACCACCAAGACGAATGCAACTAGCTTCTACGGTTTCTGCTAGTAGTCCTACAGATGCTTGTAGTGTCACCGCGCCACCAGTACTACCCTTTCCCGCACTACTTCTACTGACATACTTCCTGTCCCTCTGACTCTTGCTCTCGCTGGCTCCTGCCATTAATAATTATGAAAGTGGCAGGGCCGGCCCACGCCTCTAGGCCTCAAATAAAAAGAATGGCAAAATGACCATGATCGCAGCAATCAGGGTAAGCGCCGTCCAAAAAGATAATTAATAACGATTCAATGGCAGGGCACCCAGAGAAAACAAACAGTGATGATGCGTGAAACTACAACAAGCAACAACGGCAACGGCTATATACTTGCAGCAGCTGTAAACGTGCTACTGTTGGCACTGGTGACATTGCAACAGAAAGCACCAAGCGAGGAAGCTAGAAGCAGAGAGCATTGATGCACAAAACAGAAAGCCAGAGGCAGCCGAAGAAACAAAACCAAAGGAGCAGGTTGAGACTGGAAGCCAGAAAGTGGCAGGAGAAAGCGGAAAAAAGAATCGCCGGCCGAAAGCGAGTAGTAAAACAAAAAACCAGGGGGGGACGAAAAAGCGCAAAAATGCATCTGCCAACAACAGACAGTTGCAAGTGGCGGCTTGGAATGTCTAAGGGGACAGCACGGTAAACCCCTAGGCAATTTTCAAAACAGCTGCGCCAGGTTAAGCTGAGACTTCAATCTGATGTCCTTGAACCAGTCTTGTGCTGCCTGGTCCTGCGTGCATAGCTTTTGCTTGAACAAATGTCGCGGCCAAGCGGTAGCTGCCTTTTTCCCTCTGGCATTTGGCTTGTCTTCGATGGCAAGTCTGGTTTGCCTTCAATCCCTTGACTGACTTCGAGTGCATCCTGCATCCTCGGCACCAAACCACAACGCAAACAGCTTCGGTCAGCACCTTCGTGCTGCTTGGTCCACCCTTAAGAGAAAGGAGGCGATGATGCTACAGGGAAATCTGCGACAGGAAAAGGCATTGATGCTTGCATCTCTCAACTTCAGCTCTCCACATTCCATGTGTCTGTAGCATTTTTTTGGATGCTGACTTGCTGGTTGTTGCTCCAGGTCAGTTCCGGAGAGACAGCCAACACTTCAGCGAACTAATTGAAGAGGCATGCGACGGAAAACCAAGAGCTTTACAACTTACATATATGGAGATGACGCCTTGCAGCTGCGTCCTCCTGCCACTTGAATGCCAGCTCAGAAAGGAGATACCACACCAGCAGCGTCGATGATGCGTGGGTTCGCCATTGGAGGTAACGTTGGCGTTGTCTCCAAACGCTTCTCAGCACCGGGGCCAAAGAGCATTGGCAAGATGATCTCGACCTGGGGATCATGCCGCTTCATTGGGCCTTCCACCACCTAAGTTTGCACAGTTGAAGCATGATCCTGCACGGGCTTGCTTCAGCATCTCTTATTCAGCTTGCTGACAAAACTGCGGTTCAGCCGGCGTGACTCCACGTTCAGTACCAAACCCTTACTGGTACCAGTGCTTCATCATTCTTGCGCGTTTCGTGCCCCTGTTCTCCCTCGCCTGTCCAATGCTTTCCAAGAAACCGGATAGGTGTGGGTCATGCCCTTACGGACATCGAGTACGGCTTGCTTGGCTCCGGCATCCTTCAAAGCTCCAGCGAAGTGCACTGAAGACCACACAGGTACGGCCTTGTCCTGGATAGATGCAACTAGCCGCACTGAAAACCAAAGAGCTTTACTTGCAGCAGCCTGCACACAATCAAGATTAGACAATACAAAATGATGTTTCAATCCGGCGGCGCGGTCACCATGGAAGAGGTGGATGGGGGGCAGGAGATCGGCAGCACGAGCACCAAACGCCTTCCAGTCATCCTGCTGCAGCAAAGCTTCGGGTGAGCATCCCAGGAGGTCTCCCCCCGTCATGTGGGTCATTATGCCCGGATACAATCCGCGGGATGCCAGGTGAGGTCCCAGCTTCTGCAGATGATATGGTCCTGATATTCCCAAGAATCCCTTCAAATCTTTCACGGACCAGTTGTCAGCCTCTTCCTTGCTCCCCTTTGTCAGATGCTTCGCTTCAAGCAGAGCATGTTCCAGCAAAAGCATAGATGCCAAGTGGGCGCCGGCGCTTTGTCCCATCAAGAGCATCTGCGAAGTGTCTCCACCATAGCGCTCGATGTTCTGAAACACCCAGCGGAGACCCCGGCTGACATCCTCAACCTGACTTCAGCGGCAAGCACGCAAAAGCGTGTTACTGATGAAGTGACAGGGCGGGCGCACTTGGCTTGCATGCATCTGCGCGCTGGGTACGCACGCACCTTGTCACTAGGCATCTGCTGTGAAAGACGCTGCTGATATGCATTTCCCATGTTCGCCAGCGAGGCCAAGAAAAACAAATGTGGCCATTCAAGGAGGTAGTATTTGTGTACAACCAAAAACTTACGGCAGTCACAAATACTCGAACGGCTGGCGTATTCTCACTTCTTTCTCCGCAGCCATGATGTCTACAATGTACTGCCTTGAGCCTTTCACTTGCTTACATGCCCTCTGAACTATTTGGCTTCTGTGAGGCGTGATCGAATGGCAAGGGTTGCATCCCTGCTTCATACTGCGCAACATGTGCCATTCAATATCTTATTGTACTTTTGGGCTAAGCTTGCTTGAAAGTCCAGGTACTGTAGCGGTTAGCTTCTGCATCGTCTGTATAATCCTTCATCGTGACAATCAAGGCTGCGCCTCTATGAGTAGAACATGTGCTGCTGGCGACGTTTTGGCTGTAGATTCCAGGCACAACTTCCAGAAATGCGTTTCGGAGTGATCTGCGCTGTGAGAATAACTTGACATAGGTTATGTGCCCAAGTACTGGTCACTAAGCAACACGGACGCCAGACACAGTACGACAGGGAGACGGATAGCGGACAGCATCGCGTAGCACATGATGGCCTAGCAAACCACCGCGGCAACGTCTAGTGCATTTGGGAGAACACTGTCTCTTAACGTGCTTTGCAAAGCTGCTGTGCGCAGATGCCTGCATCCATACTCACAAACTTTCAAAGTCATCTAATCAACAAGTTGTGTCACGTATGTAGGGATTGCAAGCAAAACGAAATTGAAATGCCACCGCGACAAGGACTCGGAAGAAGGACCCGGACGGCCCTACCTTCGTTCTCAGACCTACATCACTGGTGAACAACGTCTTGATTGATCTTGATTGCTCTGCAGCACACAGTATATAACAAATCTATATTAGTTCAGTGACTTGGGCGTACATTGCTGAAAGCTGTGCGCTTAAAGCGTTTCATTTCTGAGATGGCATGAGAATGCCGGACCTCGCATGACGCAAGTGAAGCCAGGAGACCATATCGGGAATTGTTCCTCGTGGGAAATTTCGATAGTCGATGCCCACAGTGATGATGCCGAAATCCATGAGCCGCAGTCCGAGCTGAGCGTTGTAGCCACGGTGGCCAATGATGAAAGCCCCACCCATGATGGCCACGACCACGGGGACTTTGGCGCCTGCTTGCTGCGCCTCCTTTGGCACATAGATATCAAGGTATTCGCGCTCGGCTGGGCCAAAGCGGATTCGCCGATGAATTCGGGCATCATGGTAATACGTCAGCATGATCCGCACGAAGGCAGGGAGTAGCATGATGGCGTAGACACACAGCCGGAAACCGAGCCAGCAGGCCGCAAACCCAAACTGGAACCACTTGACACTCCGGACTGCCAAATCGATGCCATAGACAAGGAAATTGAAGTGATCAGTGATTACCGGGTAATTATTATAACCCCAGTTCTCAAGATCATCATGTAAATCTTTGACCTTTGAAGTCAGGGATGGCACTTCGGCTTTGGCCTCCTTGATGGGTGAGCTCTCTCGCGCAATCTCTGGCATCTGGGAGCTGCACTGAAGGGCTGTCGGCGTGTACATTAGAAGCTCGTCAGATTCCTGTGAGACACTGCGCAATCGCAGCTGAAGGACTCCATGAGAGTCCGGCTTCGAGGGGCTCACAGCTGCAGCAGCTGCAGGCCTAGTTTCCGTGGACGTTGTGGAGCCCCGGTGGCGCATCTCCATGCTGAGCTGTGCACGTGCTGGCCCGGCCAAGCACGAGCGCGCAGAAACGGGAAACTATCTACACCGCCCTATCGCATCCAATCACGGCACTGCTTCGCTTACCAGAAATAATGTGCATGTTGGGTTGATGCTGAAAGGCTACTGTGAGGAACTCCCATGAACAGAAACGGCTTTGGGCCGCAGATTCCAGCGAAGGTATACATGCTCGCAGCTTCGAGGTATGATGGGCAGCACGCAGGCATGCCGTCTCCGGATGGAAGCTCGTCAGAAAGTCTCCGGATCGACGCGGCGGCAGCAAACGATGGCCTGGCCGTGAACATGAGATCAAACCTGGCCTCAACAAAGACCATAATGACCACATCTGCGACCTGCAACTGCAGGTGGCAAGGCACAGGTGTCCTCGAGGAAAGCCTCAGCAACGCATAGCTGCATGCATGGAACCGAACCTCGGGCCTCCACGCAAAACTGCCGAATGATGGCCGCATCAGCTGGGTCCCCAAGCAGATGCTGCTGCAAGCTTTGGCATCAGCTGCCACAGTTTTGCCAAGACAGCTTGGGCAATTAAATCACATACTTACACAAGTGCAAGTCGTAGGCTGCTCAAACAATCGCGAGGCAAGTGGAAAAAGCAAGCCCAAGTTTCGGTCAGCCTGGGCATCTCATGGCAATTCCGCGGTCAGGGTTTGTGCCCTCTGCGAGACGTCCATGGCTCTGAGCTCTGCTACGCTGGGCAAATGAAAACTCTACTTATTTGAAAGTAGGAAAGTGGTTATGTTGGATGCGACTGCAAAATCAGAAAATGATCCATGCTGCCAGCGTTTGCCATGCACGGCGCATCTGCGCATGTCTTTGGCTCCTTGAACCTCCAAGATGATGACATTGGGCTGGATCAGCCTAAAACCATCTGTGGGCGCGCATCTCCACAAGGACACCCCACTCAGCATCTTCACGTGGCTTGAAGAGAACCCTCATCTAGACCAAGCAGAGATTCTCTCTGAGTCATGACAAGCAGACCACACCCTTTTTTGACACCATCACACAGGTTGTTGGATAAACCAAGTCTTATCAGAAACTGCCGCCTCATTTCCTCCCAGTGTGGGGACAAGAAGCCAGCTAAACAAAGGCAATGTACAAATTCCCTGTGCTGCGTGGGCAAAAGGCGCGTTCCTATGCTACGTCAACAACCGACAAAAGGAGGTGGAGGAGCAGGAGGGAGTACCCGCTACTGTCGTCGACCTGGAGGAAATTGCTATTACTGCCAAGTTAGGGGGTCAAACAGACCCAACATCACTCAGCAAGGAGGTTGGGAAAGCGGAGGCGTCGTGGCAGCACACAGCCTTCGTTGGCGTTTCATGTGTAGCCCCAAGTCTTTTCATGCGCCGCGGACGAGTGTAACGGAACTACACCACGACATCATCAGCAGAGACCAAGTATTCATCATAGGTCCTGGCAGCAGTCGCAATACCGTTGGGGATTTGCGAGCTCGCTGTCTAGAAAATGCTGGCTTGCGCCAAGAGCTGCCAAATGGGCCCATCCTGGTGCTTTTGCTTCTGCACGACTGGTACTTGCAGCTGGGGTCGTCTGACACTGGCCTCAAGCATTCAAGCAGGGAGTGAGTAGCTTGCTCCCCACTCTTGCCACGGCTCATTACTGCAACAATGCCGGATCCACGCTAAAGAAAATCCAGCCCAAATCGATCTATACTGTGATTAAACCAAGTGTAGATGAGCATCAGGACACTTAGACTGAAGACATGTGCTGCACTCAGAAGCGTGAGACAAGGCCAGAACACAGCCGACCAACCTTGGAGAGTCGGCGACGGAAAACCTAGCGGACTTGCAAAGCTACAGTCCAGGCAGGGCAGAGCTCGAGCAGGGCATGAATGTTCTGTGCACGACACGCACACCTGACACACGCATACAACTCATCGGCCCTTCAATTGTCGATCTTGTGGTCTGGCTGTTTTCAGACCAACAACGCTATGCTAGAAGATGAGTGCCTAGGACTGCGGACAGTGTCTGGGAGACCTTTTGTCTAGTCAGCTCTCACTCGGCTCCCTCCCATGCACCTGACGGCAACGCATAGGAGCGCAACGACTCCGCGTGGCACAGTGATGAAGAGAGCTGCTGGCCCAGATCCTGCGGTGCCGATGTCTTTGACTGACGTCTCTTGCATGACCATGACCTGCCAGGCCACGGACATGCATAACTGCACCACCTGTAGTGAATGAGCGTCACGATGCTCCCTGAATCCCACCGACCGAAAATTGCCATCTGTTCCCCGGATTTACTTACCAGCATGGTCTGGTCCTGCAGTCCAGCTGATCGACCAACGACGCAAGCGTTATTCGTCCAGGGTGTGAAGAGGGAAGCAAAGTGCAAGGGAGTGAAGGCAGCGGAGCAGAGAGGAGTGACAGAGAGTTTGTCAAAAGACTTTTCTGGAAAAGGCCTGCAAAGCCTTTCTACGTGCTACACTGCTACACCTCTTATTCAGGGAAAAGTCAGGTTGGCTGGCTAAACCATAAGCCCGAAGGCAATCCGAACACCCACACACGAATACACAGCCAAACCACAGGAAGATTAGCCAAGCACCCGTGGCTCACGCTGAAGCTGAACTTTAGACTTCTTATTTAGGTGAGCAGGGGAACAGATTTCGAGGGCGGGGGGCCTGCGCGAGAAGGCTTCTAGACAGCTCTTCAAGCAGTTGGCTCGTTTCAAAGCTGGGCTTCAGGCAGTTGGACGGCGCAATCGGCAGAGTCAAGTCACTAAGGGAGCTTTGTTTAAGCACATCTCTGCGGCGATCTGCTTGATCAAATCTCGGCCCTTGCAGCTCCTTCCAATCCGTGAGGTCCCCATGTTCCAACCTTGCTCTGAACGGCTGAACTGGAAACAAGTCATCTTGCGTCAAACGAAAACATACTTTACCTACGGTTGCGAAGTCCGGTACAACTCGAGTCGAGTCAACTGCAAGAGTCTGCCAATTGCTTGCAGGCTAGGTGCGACGGGTATGCAAGTTCATGCAAGCGGTCTCTGAAAGCTGCACGCTCTGAACTGCTTGGCCACAGTGAAGCATTGTATTCCTTGGTTCATACATTTTCATACCATGGAGAATGCTTTGACCAGAAAACCTTGCAGAACAAAGGTGCAGGCTCTGCGGGTCACCTTTGTCTGCTGTCCGAGGCTCGGTGGCTTCGTTTATGGCATAGCTCCACTGAAAGTCCACAAAGAAATCCTGGGCATAGTGGCCCACGACGTCTGTCAAATCGAAGCTGCAGCACGCAGGAACGGCAGCTTCTACAGCGCAAGATCCACACTAGCCGCTTGAACACAGTATCCATAGCTGATTACGATGTTAGCGAGAAATTGGAGGAGCTTACGTTGCCGTTGCGGAAGCTGTGCCACGAGAACAGGGAACATCTCGTCTGCTTGCCAGGATCGTCACAGGACTTGATGTAGCAGCGGGATTTTGTGTCATCAATGTGCGACGCAAAGCCAGCAAGGCTTCGCCACAAGTTGTCTTCGAAGCTGTCCAGCTTCCTCCAAAAACACACGAAGCCTCGTAGGCGCGCTCATTGCACAAAGAGCACTGAAACCGAATGCTGCCACAACTCCATCCATTTGGAAGTGCATCTGGGCCGACCTTGTGCGGTAAGTCGTATGGTGAGTCCTTCGTTGGAGCATGGTAGGAAAGCTCATTTCAGCGTCTCTAGCAGCAAATCCTTGATTCAATGCTACAGCGCACACCTCGTCAAACATGGGAATGCAAGTTTTTAACAACAACGCACAACGCAATCTGAAAAGAACTTTCACAGGTAGCAACATGTGGGCCAGTTATAAGCCGTGATGACAGCTTATGGCAGGATTGTGGGCGTTCCCAGCCCGCGCAGGGCACTCAGAGCTTCTTCACGCCGCATGGAGGTTGATCGCTGCTCCATCTCACCAAGACCATCACGGACTTGAGTAAGAATACTTAGAATCAAAAGCCGACATCCTTAACTTCTAACCTCCGAAGCCTGGATGCTGACCTTTGAACATACATTAGGCCTGTAACTACCAAAGAGCGCAACCCATCTTGGAGCATTGGTGCCAATGTTGCATAGTGACTGTCTGCAGGTAATAGCGAGCAAGATCCTAGATACGAAAAAACGTGTTTATGATGCATTTTCGCTATGGCCAAAGGTTCCTTTCCTCAACACAGCTGAGTACTTTCTGGTTTGTCCGTTCTCGATCCACGTATGTGCGTGGTACCTGTAGAACTCGTCTAAGCATTTTCATTTGGAATGCGTCTACACGGACTTGTTCTGCACGAGTCAGTTGTATTGTTTCTAAGCCGTACAGCAACTTGCTGGAAATGACTGAAATCAGGACCCTACGCTTCGATCTTTTAGTAGTTCTAGCTTTGGACCAACAAAGTTTGAGACGCTTAGCTATGCTATTTGCTTCTCCGATCTTCTTCAGAAGTTCATTTCTCTGCGGTTATCAACATCTGTGAAAGTTGCTCCGAGATAAACTGTTTGCATCTTACGAGGTACATACGAACCGTCCAGGAATTTCACAGAGGTTAACACACTTATCCAGATGTAACTGTAGATTGCATTTTTATGATTCAACTTGTATGTCATGTAGGAGCTTATTAATCGTCTGAGTGTGCGTGGCAAAAAATAGCGTGCCATCAGCACACATCACTTCAGCAAATTGTAGCCCTGGAATAAGTTCTTTCTGCTTAGGCGTGTTTAGTTCGGTCTTGATGTCCTGGAAGATCGCAGATAGCAGAATGCAGAACAGGTATCGGCTGAGTGGGCATCCTTGTCGGATTCAAGCTTTTTGAGCCTTGTATTCTGATTAGTCTTCGCCCTTGACAACACTAAAGTGCGCATTCTGGTACATGTTCCTGATTGTCTGTAATATGTTTGGCGGCGCGTGTAAGCGCTACAAAACTTCAACTAGCCGGTGCTGGTCGACTCTGTCGAAGGCTTTTTGCCAATCTAAGCATGCAAGTGTAACGTTTTTGTCCTGCCTATCTGCCATGTCCACTAATCAGCCTTCTAGCAATGAATATGGCTTGCGCGGTTGATTTCAAAGCACGAAATCCAAAAAGAGTCTCGGAAATCCATGGATCCATCACATTGACAAGACGTGGATTAATGAGCGCAGCAAGAATTTTGTAAAGGACTTGTAGAAGTGTTATCGGCCGACATTTTTCTAGCTTAGATGGGTCACTGTTTTTTGTACATTGATGCTACGTTTGCATAGTCCAGTGAATGAAAATATTTCCATTCATCAAGATATCATTGTAATGCACAAGCACTTTTGTTCGGTTGTCATTGTTAAGCTATTTAATCAGCTCTGCCGCAACTTTATCTGGGCCTGGAGCCTTATTCCGCCTCAGATTCTTTATAACCTCGTTAAGTCCGTCTATTTCCCACGCTGCATCTTTTTTAAATTTTATCCTTTGTGAGAATGTTTGCGTGCGGGGAACATAGTTTCCTTCTAACGTTTTCCATTCGACTTCACCGAGATATTCTGCAGCCTTCTCAGGGAAGCGTGATTCTGGGATATAGTTGCCTGGACTTTCCTTAAATTTGCAGTGCTTCGGCACAAATTTCTTCCGGAGAGAATGTATGCCTTGCCACCTGTATAGTTGCTCATCCAAAATCTCTAACTGTTCTATCATGAACTTCTTCTTGTCTTGACGAAGATGTTTTTGCACAACAGTTTCTCCATCTCGCCCGCTTCGTGCATCAAGCCTTGATTGATTTGTCCTGTTTGCTGCAACAATATTTAAGAATAAGAATATCAACAATAGAAGTAGTGTAAATCATAATACTAATGCTAATAAGAATTCATATAAGAGTAGTAATAACTAAACGCTAATACGAGCAATACTGGTAAATGTAATTGCTAGCAGCAATGACAGTATTCATGATGATAATAGATGATAATAGCAATGATAAACATATTGTAGCAGTAGTAATAATATTGATAATACTAATACTAATAATAACAACGGTCGGCCGGACCGTAAACGCGCGCCGATTCATCCGTGCGCAATGGTACAGTACTGAACCCACTGCAAAACACAGTATTTTTGCAAGCAAGCACTTATGAGCCGTCCCAAAAATACACGTCAAAAAATGAGAAAATTTACGCGTTCCTTTGCAAAAATACTGCGTTTTGCAGAAGATATACATCGGCAGGAATTTCAGCTTTGATGGTTTTGTTCGAAGTGAATGGCTTGCGGAGGCTGATTCTTGTGAAGGCATCTGGGTTCTGCAGCAAGTGCGCTTGTTCAAAGTGAAGGGTAAAGGCATCTGCTCTCTGGAGGAAATGCGATCGTCCGGGGCCTCGAGGTTCTCACTTGCAGCTCGGAAAACCCGTAAATGTTCGCAACTCAACCCGAAGTGCAACATCCTCAAATCCGCAAGCGCCAAGCGTCTGCATTCTTGTCATAGCAAGTCTACTTACTCTCCTGAATGCAAAACCAGCTAGCCGCAATCCGGAGAATGAAGTCTTTTTGAAGGAAACAGCCAGTCGTTTGTCCTTGCGAGGGTAAGTCTTCCGGGGCATGCCCAACGGCATGCCCCCTCTCCTCACGGTAGACTTTAAAAGCCTTCAAGACCAGGCTGGAGCAACAATCGCCTTCCTGCCAAGGATGTCATATGTGACATCAAAGATCACGAACGCTATTATGGTTTGGGCATGGATGCTCTGGTTATCGTATGCTCTTGAAACACGAACGGAATTATGGTTCGGGCATGGATGCTCTGGTCACCGCATGCTCTTGGAACACGAACGGAATTATGGTTTGGGCAAGGATGCTCTCGTGACCGACGCTCTCGAAACACGAAGCTTATTATGGTTTGGGCATGGATGCTCTGATTATCGGATGCAGTCGAACATGGAAAAGCGCGATGCGCGGTACACGCAGTATTTTGGGCCCTGCAAAACACCTCGAATGTGTGTTTCGTCCCAGGCAGGCCACATCCGGAGAGGTCGGCCAAGTATGCATTTTTTGCGGGTTTCAGCTCCGGCGGAGCCAATGACAATGATAATAGTAACAGTAATAATAAAAGTAGTAGTACTAGTAGTAATAATAAAAGCAATAGCCATAGCAGTAGCAATAGTAATAGTACGTAATAGTAATAGTAATATCAATATAGTAATAGTAATTGATTGATTGATTGATTGATTGCCTTTGGGTCACGCAGACCCTTGCTTTGCAAGGCATCGACGGCTGCACCAACAGTTGCAGAGCAGCACGGATAACATGTACAAGCACACAGCTACAAAGCAGCCCGGATAAGATGCAGCAATAGTAATAGTATGTAATAGTAATAGTAATAGTGGCAGTAGTAACAGTAGAAGTAGGAGGAGTAGTAGTAGTAGTAGTAGTAGGCGCCTCCCCCCCCCTAGGGACTACACTTTTCTTAAAATGGACCATAATGGGAAAGTGTGGGGGGGGGTAGTTCCGTGCTGAGAAAGTTGATTCGGGAGGCAACAACTCGTGGGATGTGCGTTTTGCAAAGTATAGGGATTACAGCATTAGGGGTTTTCGGCCAATGATCTACGCAGGAAGTTCTTCGACCGGAAGCACATTCCAGTGGCAGGCACCACGG